ACAGCGTTTAGTTTTGATATCGGACACGGATTAGGACATGGATATGCGTATCACGCCAGCAAAGCTGGGAAAGCGAACGTGAGACATGCGTCCAGCAGTTACGCTGAGTTGGGATCTCAGGAAATGGGTCTAGGCTCCAGTTATGAGCAGGGCAAGAGTAGTGGACACGTGGGACACGCTGGTACCTACATCAGCGGTCAGGGACACGGCTACGTACAACAGAGTGGACATGGGTACGTCAACGCGGTAATGGTAGGTCAATATGGTGGTTCAGGCATTAGCAGCCATGCTCATGGTGGGGGTCACGGTGGCTATGGCAAGACGTATGAGATGCCATATGGTGGAAACCTCAATGGGAACACTTATGGCAAGGCATATGGTGGGAGTCACGGCGGATATGGCAACGCCTATGGCAGGTCCTATGGTGCAAGTCACAGTGGCAATGGCGACATCCATGGCAGAAATAATTTTAAATTTGGCAAGGGATGTAGTGGCAATTTCTTTAGTGGACATGCCAACAGCCATGGCACAGGCTATGGTGGCAGTTACCTTAGTGGATATGGAAATGGACACGGGGCTAGTGCTGAAGACGAATACTTTAAAGGACACGTGTTGACGTACGAAGATGCATACCGCGGGTACAGTTGTGGGGGATACTGGAAAGGTATCCCTTCTGGGCATGGACATGGGTATGGCGGTAATACAGGATATGGGGGTAGTTATAGCGATGGACATGGGCAAAGTGGCAGTATAGGACACACTGGTGTTGTCGGTAAAGGATACGGCTATGGTGGTGAGAGTGGGCATGGTGGTAGCGCTGGACATGGGGGCGGTAGCGGACACGGGGGTAGTAGCAGACATGGGGGTAGTAGCAGACATGGTAGTGACTACAATCAAGGACATGGGTATGCCGGTGGCAGCTCTGGTTATATTGTAGACAACGGACACGGTAGGAGCTTAGGACATTCCGGTGGTAATGATAAGGGAGAAGGACCTGCTAGCAGTTTCGGACATGGTGCTAGTTATGATAAGAGACAGGGGCATGCAAGCAGTTTAGGACTTGGTGGGGGCCACGGAAAGGCCCAAGGACATGCCAGTAGCTTAGGACATGGCGGAGACTACGGAAAAAAACAAGGACATACTAGTAGCTTAGGACATTCAGGCGGTTCCAGTAGTTACGATATCGTAAAAGGACACGTTAGCAACTTAGGACATTCCGTTAGTTCCGCTGGCTACGATAAGGAACAGGGACATGCCAGCAGCTTAGGACATGACGGAGGCTACGTAAAAGAGCAAGGACATGCTAGCAGCTTAGGACATTCAGGCGGTTCCAGTAGTTACGATATCGTAAAAGGACACGTTAGCAACTTAGGACATTCCGTTAGTTCCGCTGGCTACGATAAGGAACAGGGAGAGGCCAGCAGCTTGGAAGATCTAAGCGGTATCGATAACGATAACCACGACAAGAAACAGCTACAAGGCAGTCATGGTAGCGATCACGTCCAGCTAACATCAACCTCACACGGCAGTAACAATCCGAAGATAACCTTTGCTATAGGACACGTGTCTCACTCTGGACATGGTTATCAACACGCTAAAGGAAATGTAATGAGCACAATGTCTTGATACAGTGACTGATATACCTTGCATCACGTGAATGGACGAGGTCTTCATTTTAGCTATCAGTAAATTGATACCCAAGAGGCAGTCAACTTGTGGGTCACATTATTGAAATTCCATAAGAAAAAGATCCCAACGGAAACAAGCCGCATTGTTTGGCTTATTATTAACCCAGGCTAGTGATGAATTAGGCACACCTGTGCAACTAGGTATCTTTATTCTGTATACGTTTCGCCAACCAGTGGCTTTATTAATACAGAAGACTGAAGAGGTAGAAGATGAAGTAATCAGTCCCTCATCCTAGTAGGAGGAGTTCAGTACCGTAGTCTTGATTTTCAGAGGGACTGATTACCTCATCTACCTCTTCAGTTTTATGTATTGTACTGATAAAGCCCTTGGTTGGCGAAACGTCGACAGAATAAAGATACCCAGATGTTGCACACGTGTTTAATTCATTATCTTGTCGGAATTATATATATAATTGATATAACCCAGCATACATAGGGAGGATTACCAATAGCCCCCCGGCTGTCCTCAAGAGGGAGCTGGACAAGCACCTAAAGTCAGTACCTGTCCAGCCGGGCTGTGGTTCGTACGTCGGTCTGCATGCAGCCGACAGTAACAGCCTGATACACCGTGAGGCCTGGTCATGGACCGTACCCCGGGGGCGTTAATCCCAGAAACATCCTCCAGGGTATACTCCAGGTAACCCCACAAGACCTATCAGTATGGCTTGTTTTAGCTAGGTCCTTTTTTTTAAAGTTCCTCCCACAGAATGCGACCCACGATAGTTGTCAAACTTCTAAGTATCTATTTATTACTAAGGTATTACAGGCATTTGGTCCTGGGAGACTTACCAATACGTCTCGCCTCGTCCAGGGTTCGACCTGGGGTTCTTATAGATGCGAGTCGCGTAGGCTACCACCGCGCCATATAAGCTAATAAGCCTTTGATAAGGATATGAACCCCTTCTTTGATAAGGATATGACTATTAACAATATATGATTTGGAAATAATTCGCCTGTGTACAATCTTCAAATCCTCGCAGGGAATGCCATAAACCCTTGCAAGGACTTTTTCTGTGAAACAGGTGTTTATTCCGTTTCCTGCGGGGGATGTGATATAGTATTGGAGCATCTCTCAGCGTGGTAACAACCATAACAATGCCTGCGTCTACCTGGAATCTACCTGAAGGCTATTCCGTGGATCAACGCCCCCGCGGCCTGGTCCATGACCAGGTCTCCCGGTGGATTAGGGACTGATCATCTAGGCTGTTACTGCTGGCCGCACGTGTGCAGCCAGCTGCGTGCAGCATACGGATGCCCGTCGGCTTATCCCGGAACCAGACACACAAGTGCAGGTGCATGTGTATCCAACACTGTTACATACAATAAAAGCAGCCTTATTATTTAGCACTAATTCTGCTTCAACTATACGACACCGCCATCTAGACACCGCCATCTAGACACCGCCATCTAGGCACCGCCATCTAGACACCGCCATCTAGACACCCCGGCTACTGTTAATGCACTACTACTATTACTACTGTTATTATTACCCCGCCCTCCTCCCCTATTTCTCATTTTGTCCATGCAATGTATTCATGTACTGACAAAGCCCCTGGTGGGCAAAACGTTGCCTTAATAAACATCTAATGGGGTTGTATTTGTGTCCATTAACCTGTCTACTGTTCGTATTATTACGAAAAATCGCTACAGTTAATGCTACAACCATCAAAATATCGCCAGAAACAGACCAAAAATTACACAAGCCAGTGTGGGTGTTTACTTGGTCTCACGTGGAGGCTGCGATAAGGTTAACGTTGGAAAGATTTCCAGATGTTTGGACACCAGGACCAGTGGAAACAAATATGCATAAAGGCGAGAAAAGACACCCAACACAAGCGTAATATTTACGAGCTCGCCAGAAAACTTTATGAATGGAATTGGCACCAAAATTATCATAAAGAACAACTCCAGAAACGTAGATGTTTGGGATCATTTATTACTCACAGAATTGCAGTTACACGATTGCAAACAAATCAAGGAACGGGAGGGGTTTGAACCCATGGCGAGTGTGTCCTAAAATCCACAACCCAGTGTGAGTTTTAGGACTTACTTTGCTATGGGTTAAAAACCAAACTCGTTCTGTGATTTAATCATCTATTGTTGATACATCTAACACCAGAGTGTCCCGTAGCTCGATTTCAGCTCACACACTGAGGTCCGTGGCTCGATCCCCGGTACGAGTAAAAACATTTGGATGTGTTTCCTTAAGACACCTACTGCCCCTCTTCACCTAGCATTATATAGGTACCTGGGTGTTAGTCAATTGGTGTGAGTAGCACCCTAGGGACAAAACTGAGCTAATTTCCCAGAAATGCTCTGCATAACAAGCTAGGTCTGTATATCTTGTACATGTACTTGTAGAAATAAACATTATTATTTTTATAGTTTAAAAAAAATCAGAAAGATTTAATATCTCCAAAGTTATGGCTTGACCACTCTTAAAATACCAAGACACAGATATCAAATAAACTAGATCCCCACTAACTAGTCCTACCCATGTACACGTGACCACCACTGCTGTTACTTCATCGCAGATCAAAACCTGACCAATACAACCCGGGCTATCAAAATAACTTACATCATCCTCTAGCTAGCAAAGCCTGATACTAATACGGCGTCATTGTACCTCTACTTCCACTTCTCTTATTCCTCTAAATAGATCTCCCTTATCATGTTTGTTTTAGATAGATAATGTGTGTCTGTACTCGTTTGTAATCTACGTGTGCGTGTATCCTGAGCTCGTGTCATCACTCGTGTAGTTTATGTAAGCGAGTGTCTGTGTGTGACCATATAGTGTACGTGTAACTGTGAACTAATGCGGCCATGTGTGTAATTAAAATGTGCGTTAGTGGGCGAAATGTTTCCTAAATAAAAGTACCCTGGTGTTGCACTTGCGTCTTATTCACCAATGTACCGGTATTATATACATTGGATCTAGTTATAGTACTACCAGACCACGGTTCTTGGGGGATTTAAAGCCAATCAAAGCACCCTTAATGTTCTTGCATTAATGCGCTAGATTTGTACCACGTAAGTTTTTAGTTGTTGCTGCAAATATATCCCCGGGAACAAATTTAAAAATAAAATCCACTTGAAACAAAATTCGCTAGAGAAACAGTTTAATATATATCGGTACTGTCTTTGGAAGTGTGATGGATTTTAAGCTCTGAATTGTGGGAAAGTGATCAACAGTTTGATAAAACAAAATATATATATTGAAGTAGATACAACACCAAAAATGTGTAGAAATATAACATTTTTAAAAAATATGTAACATGAATGACTTAAATATAGATGGATTAAAGTGGTTTGTGCAGCAATCACCGAAACTACTCTTAAATCGTGACGTAGAGATCATCACGATGTTTTGAAATTCCAGTTTGTACAGAAACCCTGTGTTTTGACATGGAATGAGCTGGTTGATGGTGAAAGCTTATTTTCCAGCATCAAAACCACCACTACCGGCCGCCGCTGTGTCCACCCACAGCATTTCCAAAGTCGCCTCCACCAAGTCCACTGAAGCTTGCACCACTGTGGCCACCACCACCACTAGTTTGTCCACCTGGTGATCCAGCGATGTTGTAGTTGTTGGTGGATGATCCGCTATCACCTCCGAAGCCTCCACTGTGACCGCCTCCGAACCCTCCGCTTTGTCCGGCACCTCCGAGTCCTGTATCGTGTTCACTTCGGAAACCACTATGCCCATCAGCTCCAAATCCTCCGCTGTGTACATCAGCTCCAAACCCTCCAGTGGGTCCACCTGATCCAAACCCTCCAGTGGGTCCACCGGATCCAAATCCTCCAAAGTGTCCAATTCCGAAACCGCCACTGTATTCACCGTCTCCGAAACCAGCTCCACCCTGTCCAGCACCCCCGAAGCCTGAGTCGTGTCCCCCTCCAAGGCCAGCATGTCCGCCCGATCCGAAACCTCCACTGTGTCCGACTGGGGGAAAACCTTGTCCGTTGTCTCCGAAAACGACACTCTGCTCTGCGTCTCCTCCGCCTTGGGCGTCAGTTAGACTGACGGAGGCGAAGAAAACCCCGCAGAATAGTGAAAGCAGCACTCTCTGAGGAAAAAAATATATATACACATAAACAACTTGATTATTTATAAGTAAATTAACACCGTATGAGAAACTTGATGCCGACTCCTGGTTGACTAGTCTTGGGATTGTTGCTCTTATTGACGGGGAAGCGTTAAAAGACTGTTGGAGTCATACAGCGCTTGGGTAATGAGAAATCAGGTTAGATCCGAGTAAAGGAGAGGAAAAACTTCAATTCCTCGGATCGAGAGGCTTTCACTGCAACATTTATTTGCTGCAGCAAACTAATTCACGTTAATTTATATTATACGCCTTTCAGTTTACCGACTAGGGCTATTATCATTCCTTGGCTCATTTCAAAGCCCATCTTTGTCTAAGGTATACTACCACTCACACCATATTCCCCACGATGTGACCCATGAAAGTCGCCTAACACCCAGACGGGTACATATTTGCTGCTGAGTGAACAGAAACAACAGGTATTAGGAGACAATAAAAATCTCCAGCATTGAACCCGGGTCTTCGAATTAGCTCATTGATAGTTAAAACATGACACTAAGCTATACTCATAAAAACAGATGAAGTTGGTTAATTGATTAATAGGGTTTTAAGTCTGTCGACTACACGAGTCATTGAGGTTACACGTAACCTTTTTACCACCAGACAAGAATACTTTAATCCCTTAGAAATGGGGTAAAGAAACCTCTCTGTGTTTGTACACCGAGAGGCAAACGCCTCTTGGTGTATAAATAACAAAGTTGCATAAAGCTTTTAGTAGCTTCAGTTTTCATACATACAATCAAAGCTTTAATAATGATTATTATTATTATTATTATTATTATTATTATTATTATTATTATTATTATTATTATTTTAATTAAAATATAAATATATCAATAATATTAATATTATTACTGTTATTATTCCTATTTCTGCTATTACTACTAGTAGCAGTAATAGTAGTAGTAATAGTAGTAGTAGCAGTAGCCGCAGTAGTAGTAGTAGCAGCAGTAGTATTACAGAACTTGTTGAAGTTGTAGTGATAATAGTACATTAATTCTGACAGCAAATAACACATCCAGGGTGCACAAATTAAGCGTAATTGAAAAGAATCAGACAAAAAATGGATACACATATTCTCGAAATCACTCTCTTTACAATATTCAAAATATCCTCTGTTAGTACAGCTGATATTACATTTATTTTGTATCTGATAAATTATTACAATTTATTGGTATGCGTATATCGTATAGCATTATTGCTGAAATTCGGTTATTAGTGATCTAAATTGAAATTGATGTTGATTTAGGCCAGGTGTTTACCATTGTGGTGGTGGTGGTGTGGTCGGAGACAGATTGCTTGAAGTGTCGTGAGATGTGGGCCTTTTATATAGATTTCCAGGTGGAGACACTGAAAGCGATTTGCTTGGTGGCTGGAAAGACACGCTCGAGGCAGCCCGTGTCATGCTCTAGCCCGCGGTGAAAGTTTCCTGAACAAAAACAAAATGTTGAAACGCACCTTGACAGATTACTGATCAAGTTTGGTGTTTTGGGGACGGGTACAAGAGGCTGGTGTGTGTGTGTGTGTGTGTGTGTGTGTGTGTGTGTGTGTGTGTGTGTGTGTATCATTACACTATATATTTGTACAAGTATAGTACCTGTCCTCATAATTTTAGCTTTTCTCCAAAAATTATCGCATAAATGCTATAATTCCCAATTTTTTTTTAGCATCTGATTCCATTCGAGTCATTTACCATTATTTTCTCTTAAACACATTTTTTCCAATATTCCTTCAATTTTGCTATTTAATTTAAAGTCATGACCTCCTATTCATCCTAATGATTCTAGTTTCTCTTGTTTTCAAACGATGACATTTGCAGTGTGAACAATTTTTCCCCCATTAATCATTTTTTTCTAAATTTTTTATTTCATTTTGTCACATGTCTTTACAATCTAGCTACATTTTTAAAAGCATTAACACGATACCTCAGCTGCAATTTAAGTGAACATTTACTGTATATTATTTTGTCATTATTTTACCTTTTCATACATATATATATATATATATATATATATATATATATATATATATATATATATATATATATATATATATATATATATATCGTGCCCAATATTTCGAAGAAATCACAGTGAAAATAAAACTGTTTTGAATTTTGCCAGAAGCATATCTCATAACATTTATATGATTTTCTTAAGTTTTTTATGTAATCACTCCTGGTCAGTCAGTACATTGTATAAATACCGACTAATGCATTTCTTTATACACCGCTACAGAGTACATACCCCGAGTGGTTGTATATCTCTCAATCTGCATATGATGAGAATGTGAATAAGACACAATGAGATTTATGGTATTTACTGAGATGTCTTCTCAGTCATTGCCATTAATTTCATATTTTGTCTTATTCACATCTTGTCGGTATTCTTTACCTTCGATATTCACATATGTTGAGAGTTTATAGTTAATCCCTATTTTTAGGGATTACATTATTCTTGACTATGGAGGTAAACAGGTTACATGTACCCTCAGTGATCCTCTATCAGTCGATAGTCTTTAAATCCATTTAACCCATCAAGGCTTCTCTCAATGTATGTGCAATGTAAACAGCAATATATGTACATTAAGGGTTTGTATGAATGGCATACAGTACCGATAAGATAAAGAATTAGACACATGTGCAACATCTGGGTATTTTAATTTGTAAACATTTCTCTATCCAGTGGCTTTATAGTTCTAGTCTTCCCATTATGTCCTTGATTTTATGTTGATAAAGTCAATGGATGGTAAAACGTTTATAAATAAGATGCCCAAATGTTGCTTATGCTTTCAATTCTTCACACAAAGCGTTTGTATTTCTCAGTCAATATACACCGAAAGTTTATTTTAATTATTTTCTGTTTAAAGCGTATGTGAGTGGTGGTGTACAGGCAGCAGTCATGACCTGTCTGTAGTTGACATAACAAATCAAACTAACGTTTAGTTTTCAAACCCATTATCATCATTTTCTTGCATTACTATTATCAAGACTCACGAAATCGTAATGACATGATTGCAAACAAACCATACCACGGGCGGGGTAGAACTCTCTGATCGCTGGTTTTATCCCCACTCGTCTTATGGTTTACTATTGTCAACCTGGATCCTATTTTTTGTTTATTCTCTTTAATAATATTTCTAAATTTCCTCATTTGTCACTTTTAGTGTTCAGCTTTTATTTGTAAAATGTTAGTCGTATAAGCATCTTACTTAATATTTTGCTTCATCCACAAATTCATATTAATATTTATACTTTCGGTATCGGTGACACTGATCTTGTGCCGACGTTATTCCAGAAAATATTTCACACCAAGAGATTAAACACACTCCCTTATGGTAGGTACATCAATTATGTGGCTTGAACATACTTCTCCATCGTGACCAATCCTAAGACGCTTGTAAAATTACGAGAGATTCCTAAGACGGATTCTTTTGCCGGGAGGCGAATGTGTTGTACCGGTCACAGTGTCAGGAAGGGGAAGCATAACTATACAACTGATAGTATATTCGGGTTAACGAGCCTATCAACTGCAGAGGAAATTTTTGTTAAACCATAACGAAGCCCAGAAATTAATGAATGTATGAAACATATCACTAACCTGGTGAAGCTCGAACCCAAGGTACGTGAGTCCTCAAACTCGAAGGCCAGTATATTTAATCACTGGTTCTTGCCGATCTAACACGATTTTTCCAACTAGGTATAATTCCATACACCACTGGAATGTTAGAATAGACCCCACTGTTACTAGTGGGGGCAAGTGTGCTATTACGATTTCGCGAGTATAAAATATTAAAATTTGCTGTAAGATTATCGTTTAAAAATTTTACTAGTAACTGATAGGATTTGAATTAACATCTAGCATCCTAAGGAGTGACGGCTGAAATTTTAGTAAAGTTTTCCAGAGTCCTGTCGTCCACAAATGTTTATGAAACGTCAGCCGTATCAGGTTGAGGTTTCAGGAAATGCATGAGCTTACTATTATTATCAATGAAACAGGATGCATGACAGGTTTCTAAAGTCACGACATAGTGTAATAATGTTGATAGAATTACGGACAATATGTTAGGTTAAAGGACACAAGTGCAACTAATGAGACATTTTATTGTGACAACGTTTCGCTCCCCAGGAGCTTTGTCAAACAGTGGTATTATTAACGAAATCATCTGCGGAACTAGAATAGGCGGTGGTGAGAGAGTGACGAGGTTAATATGGGCTCCACCTCGAAGGGTTCCTTGCTTGGAAGATTTTATGTTCGGAAACAACTGAACCTGCTTAACCAGTTATGTTTTCCTTCTGGAGGTATCCTATTTATGTTTTCTAGTGTAGAAGTATTTGCACCAACATCTTACAGCGTTGCTTTTAGTAGGGCAGCACTCTTTTTGATTCTCTCTCTCTCTCTCTCTCTCTCTCTCTCTCTCTCTCTCTCTCTCTCTCTCTCTCTTCTCTCTCTCTCTCTCTCTCTCTCTCTCTCTCTCTCTCTCCATTTCGAAAGTGAATTTAATCCTGTGAAAGAATTATACAAATTTTCCTTAGTAATTTCCTTTGTATTGTTGAACGTGTGGGATTACGAAAGTCTGCGTGTCGTGAATTTAAAATTTCTAAATAATAATAATAATAATAATACACAACCCGTACATAGGAGAGAGAAGCTTATGACGACGTTCCGGTCCTACTTGGACCATTTACAAGTCACTCAAATACACGAAGGTGAGGGAGCCAGTATATTTAGGAGAGGGGGACAAGGACGGGACAAAGAGAGGAATAATAATAATAATAACAGTATTTTTCGTACCGTAACCGCTTACCGCCACAACAGCCCTGCTCGTTCCATCCTAGTGAAGCCAAGGAAATAGCCGGGTTGGCCCTGATAAAAAAAAATGCAAACTAGCTAAATGCTAAACAAAGAGTATGTGCATCGTTCCTCCGTTGGGAACCAGAGACAAGTTATTATGTGACTGTATAACCGTGTCAGGAACTTTTCCGGGTAAATGCAGAAACAGTAAGTTTAAGTTAGACGTTGCAAACTATACTTTTGAGTGCAGACAGAGTACTTCATACCTCCAGAACCTCAACAACCACACTCATCCTTCAGAGTGCAGACACTGTACTTCGTACCTCAACAACCACACTCATCCTTCAGAGTGCAGACAATGTACTTCGTACCTCAACAACCTCACTCATCCTTCAGAGTGCAACAATGTATTCGTACCTCAACAACTCACTCATCTAGATGCAGACACTGTTTCGTACCTCAACAACTTCACTCATCCTTCAGAGTGCAGACACTGTACTTCGTACCTCAACAACTTCACTCATCCTTCAGAGTGCAGACACTGTACTTCGTACCTCAACAACCACACTCATCCTTCAGAGTGCAGACACTGTACTTCGTACCTCAACAACTTCACTCATCCTTCAGAGTGCATGCACCATATATTTACTTCACTCTTCCAGAACCACAATTCACAACCCGTCCTTCAGAGTGCAGACGTTGTGCTTCCCATCTCCAGAACTCAAATTATCATTATTACTTATTATTAGTAGTATTATTATTACTGTTATTATAATTGAATTCAGGTATATACGAATAAGTTTATATCATAAACCAACACCGAGCATATATGTTTTATTAACGATTTCGAAGGCACTATTCTCCATTACATTAAGACCAGTACTCACTTTTTTATGTATAGTAGCGGGTACTAAATTTATATATATATATATATATATATATATATATATATATATATATATATATATATATATATATATATTATATATATATATATATATATATATATATATATATATATATAATATATATATATATATATATATATATATATATATATATATATATATATATATATATATATATAATATATATATATATTATATATTATATATATATATATATATATATATATATATATATATATATATATATATATATATATATATATATGAGAGAGAGAGAGAGAAAGAGGACGCCTGCGTATGTCTGTGTATGCACCTGTGTGTGTCTGTGTTTGTGTGTTGTGTTCATGAGTCCGTGTTCACGTGCGTGGGTTAATGTGCGTGTGTCCATGTGCACGCGTACATGTCATGTACTACGCCCTCCAGCCAACCCGTCCCCCTGGTCCCCATCCCTGGGGTTCACCTAACCCTTGTACCGTTCCCTCATCCTTGCAATATTCATCTAACAATTACGTCACCTGGAGCATTCACCTGAGACAGTTACCTGGACCAGCCACATGGGTCATTCACCTGGACCAGCCACATGGG